TAGACGATTGTGGTATGGTGGGCTTGGTTCCATAGCGAACAAGTTAACAAAACTGACGCACATGCCTCTCAAATCCATGTGAGACTGGAAAGATGCCTTGCCATCCAATATGGCGCCCGCCTGGGCGGCGCAATGCTGTGCCAGTACACCATATGCAGGCTGTCATAGGCCATATGCCTGCTAATTCTGTATTGGATGGGGAACGTGGCACTTGAAGGGCTGAATCTAGACTCAATCGAAGGTTCTCGTTCGCCAGCACAACTTCGAACATGCACACATGGCAAGGAATCTTGCCATGTTCTGTAAAATAACAGAATCTTCCTCGTCGATAAGGAAGACGGGCCGCTGTCTTGAAAGGGGGTACCGTCGTCTTGCCTTCATTATTTTCGATGGAATGAGCAAGAATCTGCACCAGCTCCCCTAGCGGGAGCCATGGTTGGCTTCTCAGGCTCTGGCCTCTCTGTTCTTTTTGGTTGTCTTGGCGAAGCCACGCGACTTAGAGCCGCAATACATCCCTCTATCTGGTGCTGCCCTCTTGCTCCGCCCGTTCCTCCCGCATTGCCTGCCCCTCCTGCATCTCTCGCGACGCTCGCACCGCATGCCCTTGTATTATGGAATGGCATCCCCGTCCTGATGCTGCTTCTTCCCGGGGAAGAAACCCCCCGTGATGACAAACATGCCAGTCAGGACGAAGGTGACCATAATGGCCGGCCCAAGGAAACCCCTCGAGACTGGGGAATCCCGGACGACGACGATGGGCTTCTCGGAAAATCGCATGTGCCGTCCTTCCCGGATCGTGGGAACCGTCCCCACCCCTCTACTAAAAACCGTGATGCTCGCCCCCCGTCTCCCAGGAACCGCGCTACTAAGCGCAAGCGAAATTCCTAGTTCGCCAAGGAAAAGAACTTCTACCTTGCACGTCTGAAGGAAGTAAAGGTAAGTAACGAGGTGGCACGAGAGGCGGCCTCCCCGCATCAACGACTAGACTAAGGCCGAGCACGAGCTGCAAGGTGCCGCGGGGTGTCGTAAGCGACGTCACGACCATGCTCGCTTCCTTGCCGTGCTCGCTGACGGTTCCCCTCTCCCCGTGTCGAAGCTCGAGACGTGGTCACGGGAGCTGATGAAGCTGCAGCATCCGGAGGGGGAATGGCAATGTTCCCACCGCTGGACTGAGCGGTTTAGAGCTCCTTGGAACCTCTCCATTCGCGCGAAAATCAATGTCGGTCAGAAATTGACCGCCGGTAAGTTCTGTTTTCCCGATTCTTTCTTTACTTCGCTTTTGGATCTCTACTTTGCTGACAGACCCCCATGCTTCCTGAATCTGTAACACCGTGTATTGATCGTCGACTTTTCCCCATGTTTTCCATCCCCGCAATCCCCCCTACCACAGCATGCCAAGTCGAAGTTGAGAAGTTCTGACGCTTCTGTCATGAGGTCCACCGTATATACGAAATCGAGGAGTGCTGGATCATCAACGCTGACCAGACAGTGCTTTGGCTCGAGATGCCTGCCGAGCGCACCGTCGAGGAAATCAGCACGAACAGTGTCCCTATCCGAACGACGGGTTACGTGAAGGAGCGATTAACTGTAATGCTTGCCTGCACCGCCGCCGGCAAAAAGCTGAAGTCGTGGGTCTACTTCAAGAGGAAGATGGTGGTAAACTTAGAAAAAACCAGTTCTACAATCTCATTTGTCGAGCCCATTTTGCTAAAAGGCGAGGCTGCTGTTGAGCCCTGTGCTTGTCGTTGCAGACGTTGTTGTTCAGCACAGCCAAATGGCTGGATGGACACTGAGGGAGTGAAGGAGTGGCTGCTAAAGGGCGTCAAGCCATTCACAAAGCCGCGCTTCGGTCTACACGCTCGGCCAGCCCTAATCATCCTCGATTCCTACCAAGGACACCTTATGGCGGAAAACAAGGAAGCATATGCCACGCTCGGCCTGGTGCCTGGAGTCATCCCTGCTGTGAGAGTATGACCCCGTTACACCACTTGGCTTTTCCTTCCTATTTCATTTCTCTTTTTATCCCATTTCATTTGGTTTCTCCATTTTTTCATTAACCTTTGGTTTATCCTGTTATTATCATTATATCACCGACCAGGCTCGGGATGTACTGGTGCGCTCTATCTAGCGTAATCTTGTCGTAATCCCTTAAAGCCAATAGCCTCGCGTGGCTATACGCAGGGTGATTCTACATTCTAGAAGGGTCTTTTCCCTTGGGATAAGATAGACCTGGTTACCTGATGTACTTTGGAAGTATAAAAGTGCATTGTACTGATCGATAGTGCAATCTTTCCTCGAGTCATTCGATCCTGTGACACCCGCCGGCTGCACGTTCGTTGTCCAGCCGCTGGACGTGTGCGTGAACCGCGCATTCAAGGCCTGCGTCTGCCAGCTCTACCAAGAGTGGTTCGATTTGGTCGGGATGTACACGAAGACGGTTAAGGGTAAGTTTCTTCTAAAAAAACTTGCTGTTTTCTTGCTTATTTTCCCGAGTGCTTCCTGACTTTTTGGCTGTTTTTTATACATGCAGGCAACATGAAGAAGCCTCCACGACAGGAGATCCTTTAGTGGATCTCCAAGGCGTGGAGGGCAATTCCGGCATCCCTCATTCAGAGGGCATTCAAGACCTGCGACATCAGCAATTCTTTCGACGGAAGCAAAGTATACCTAACTCTGCAGCATATATGCAAAAAAAAAAAAAAAAAAAAAAAAAGGCCGAAGTGGATGTCGACGATGAAGTGGGCACTGACGGATTCACAAGGAACATATCTACTGCTGCTGTAGCAGAGAATGTGGCTACAGCTGAGGAGGGGGAGGACGTTGAGGAGGAGGAGGTGGAGGAAGAGGAGGAGGGGGAGGAGGAGGAGGAGGATTAGGAGGAGGAGTAGCCTCCTATAGGCTGTGGAGCATCTAGATAGACTATGTAAGGCTCGATCTATGCAAATATTAGCTAGGTAGGGCCTAGAGCCAGCTATTGCTGCTTAAAGCCCGCGGCCCAAAACGTTTATGCTTTAGAAACATGATGATACTGTTGATTTCAGCAAACCGGTCGCGAGTGTATTTCATTTCGCTTAGAGTGTGTTTCTATGACCCTCATATCAGACTCCCCCTTATCAGACTTGCAACATTCGCCTGCAGGACGAGATCTCCAAGCGTTTAACAAATCTCCATCGCGTTGAACCACTTCGCGTCAAGCTCGCACTGCACAGTGACGAGCAAGTCTGATGAGTGGCACTCCGATAAGATGCTCGTAGGAACACGCTCTTAGTCTGAGAATCCTAGGGGCACTGGATGATTTGGGATGCAAAAGTCCCGAATTGCAATGACCCCCATTTTCAAGTTCCCGCAGGCCAACCCACGCAAACTTCCCAGTCAAGACTTTGACCAATCAGGTGCCTTCGCGATGAGTGTAACCCCCGTTTCGTGAAAAAACACCCCACAATCGTCAGATTTCATATTTCTAAAGCTTGAACCACGCGACAGGCAATTTGGGACTCAAGCTTTAAGCTTAGATTATCTTGACATCTGACATCATACTAATGTGTAGTTGTAATGCATTAATGCTAATGGAATAAGCATCGTATATGATACAACGTGAAGGGGCGTTTAATAAAATAATGTTGATAAGGCCCAAAGCACGGGATAAAGCCCATAGCCTACGGAGGGGTATATCCGGGGGAATTCGGTACTCTTCACATCCCAACTCGTTTCGTGTGGCATGGAATGTTAAACTAAGCTAGGATCTAGGTAGGAGGGAAGCCATAGAAATGGCAAGAGGTTTTAGGCAGGAGAAAGTTGACGAGAGAAAATGTGAGAGTACGACACCGTTACACCAATTTCCCTTTTCCATATTTCCTTTCTATTTCATTCCTCTTTTTCTCCTAATTCATTTGGTCTTTATCTCATCTCATTTGGTTTCCTATTCCACATTTTCCATTACCCTTTGGTTTATCTTGTTATTATGATTATATCACCAACTAGGCTCGGGATGTACTGGCGCGCTATATCTAGCGTAATCCTGCCGTAATCCTGCCGTAATCCTGGCGCGCTCGGGATGTACTGCCGCTATATCTATGACAAGAATCCAGGGATGGCCTGTTAACTTCCCTTGTCAATACAAGGGGTTTGCGTGTGGGCTGGCCCCGGTAATACCTTGAGCTCTCACAACACTCTGAAATACCAAGGCCCTGTAAAGCAAACAATCTGAATACTCAGGCCAAAGTACACTGAATATCTTAAAATCTCACGGCTTGCCGCCCGATCACACCATGAGAATCAGACTTTCAGGGTGTTTTACCTAGAGATATGAGGGCCTGATGGGGAAGTTCAATCTAGAGCACTGTAGCAAAGTTTGCAGTTGAATTATGTTACAGAATGAACGTTTCCTTTTTCTTTTTTCTTTTTTGGTTGCAGAACAACCTATTACGATCTATTTTGCCGGGAAAAAAAATCACTCAAAATTTTGCACAGTCAAATATGGCCTACAGTTTTGTTGTTTTCCTCTTACTGTAACAAGATGCTAGAGGTGTTTATTCTATGATTGTAATAAGATGCTAGTATTGATTATATGCATATATTTTGGAATAGTATTTGCAATGTTATATTTGGTTAATCTTTGGTGTACTGTAAAATTTTGGCATGTCTCTTCTTTGATTGCACCACATCGTTGTGTACGGATCCAATCGAGAATTGCAAGAAAATTCATGTCATTATTCATGACATGAATGAAAAAAAGTGTAATGATTATGTGTGATAGTGATAAAACTCAAACTCTAGGCTACCGCTTCCCCAGCGCTAGCATGGGGGGGAAGTCAGCAAGCCTAGTGTCTTAATGATTAACTGTGACATGGAGCAACGCAATTTGTAAGGTCCAAAAAAAGAACCAAACATATCAAATCCAGTTCAAGAGACAGAAACTCAAGGAGCTCGCCTGTGAACCTTTTGTGATTTGATAAGCATGCTTTCTTTATTAGAAAAACACAGATGTACATTGCTAATGGAATGAATGGTGGATCGAGAATGAGAGCAAACAACAGCAGCAAGACGCATCAAATCAAACACAAGACGCCAGCAATTATAAGAATATAAATGAGATCATTGAACATCCCCGCGAATTACAGCTAGACGCCGTAGGGAGCTCATAATCTCGTTTACAAGAAAACCTGCACAAAATCAAAGTGGATGAATGCGGATAGTGGAGAGTATATTAGGCATTGCGTATGGAAAGAAGTGAATAACAAGCAGCTAGGGCGAGAACGAATGAGCATGTAAAGTGAACACAAAATGTGATTGTGAAAGGAAAGAGAAGAAGAGAGAGGTAAAGAGAGAGAAGTTGAAAGAGAGGTAGAGAGAGAGAGAGAGAGAGAGAGAGAGAGAGAGAGAGAGAGAGAGAGAGAGAGAGAGAGAGAGAGAGAGAGAGAGAGAGAGAAAGAGCGAGAGAGAGAGAGAGGGAGAGAGAGAGAGAGAGAGAGAGAGAGAGAGAGAGAGAGAGAGAGAGAGGGGGGGGGGGGGGGGGGGGGGGGGGGGGGGGGAGGGAATGGTAAAACGGCAGGCAAGGAGGGGGGAGACGGCAGGCGATGGGGAAAGCGGCCGACAAAGGAGGGGGGAGGCTGCCGCGAGACAGCGGGCGAAGAGGTGGTTCAGACGGACTAGGAGGGTGAAACGGTGGGCAAAGGAGAGGGGAAACGGCAGGCAAAGGAGAGGGAAACATCAGGCAAAAGAGAGGGAAATGGCAGGCAAAGGAGGACTGAAGAAAGGAGCAACGAATCAGATAGAGGTAAAAAAAGGGAAGGGAGAGGTTGAGAGAGAGAGAGAGAGAGAGAGAGAGAGAGAGAGAGAGAGAGAGAGAGAGAGAGAGAGAGAGAGAGTGGTTGAGAGAGAGAGAGTGGGGGGGGGTGGAAGAGGGAGGAGCGGAGGGAGGGAGGGAGAGAGGGTGAAGGAGGGAGGGAGGGAGGGAGGGAGGGAGGGAGGGAGGGAGGGGGGGAGGTAGGGGGAGGCGGGGAGGGAGGGAGGGGGGGGAGGGGGGGGGAGGGGGAGGGGGGGAGGGAGGGATGGAGGGAGGGAGGGAAGGAGGGAGGGAGGTAGGGAGGGAGGGAGGGAGGGAGGGAGGGAGGAAGGAAGGGAGGGAGGGAGGGAGGGAGGGAGGGAATGAGGGATGGGGAGGGAGGGAAGGAGGAACTGTGAATGAGCGATTCAAACAAGCAAATGAAGGAGAGTCGAACTATTCTCAACCCAGGTCGAACTATGCAGGTGTGGCTAATGGAGGTTGCAGGAAAAGGAAAGCGAAACAAACAAAGATTGAAACGAATGAATGTAAATAGCAATGAACGAAAGATAGGGAAGGAGAAGAGGCGTGACAAAAAACAGAGAAATTGGTCAAAAGACACCACTAATAGAAGAAAAGGATACAACATGCCGATGGAATGAGAGGTAAGGATAGAGAAAAGGCAAGGGAGAGAGAGGAAAGAAAGGATCAAACGACGTAAGAAGGAAATGATGAAAACAAAAAAAGGGGTGAAAAACAAATTAGCCTAACCTCTGTATGATATGGTTAATATCACACGTGTCAAGCACAATCTTGAGCTTTTGTCTAGAACCTGAGAGCACAAAAAGGCAAAAGTGAAATTGTGAAAAAGCACATTTATACAGGGACCAACGAATTAGTGCCAAAACAAACACGTATGCGGGCCTAGAGAAAGGAAAAATAGAGGAAAAATATCAGGAGAGGAGAGGAAGAGAGTAACACGAACGGGGAGGGGGGAATGAACGAACGACCTAACTATTAGCTCGCAATGGGCTGCAGCCCAACATAGGACCTCGAAATTAGGTCGCAATGGGCTGCAGCCCAAGAAAGGACCTAACTATTAGGTTGCAATGGGCCGCAGCCCAAGAAACGAGCTAACTCTAAGGTCGCAATGGGCTGCAGCCCAAGAAATGAGCTAAGTATTAGGTCGCAATGGGCTGCAGCCCAGGAATTGAGCTAACTATGAGGTCGCAATGGGCTGCAGCCCAAGAAACGAGCTAACTATTAGGTCGCAATGGCCTGCAGCCAAAGAAACGAGCTAACTATTAGGTCGCAATGGCCTGCAGCCCAAAAAACGAGCTAATTATGAGGTCGCAATGGGTTGCAGCCCAAGAAACGACCTCAGTAAAAGGTCGCAATGGGTTGTATGTTGAAAGGGCGTAAGAGCTAAGTTAGATAGCCATGAGAGGTTTAGCTAGGGGGGAAGAGTTACGAGAGAATAGAGGGAGAACTAGGAAGAGAAAGAGATCCAAGAGGGGGGGGGTTGTCCCCTCTACAGTAGGATCTAGTAAAATAGCACACATATAATATATATAATTTGACACACCCCCTAGGCTTGGTAGTCGTAAGCCCACCCAACACGAAACACCCCCAAACCCTTGCACCCCCATGCCCTGTAGCAGGGGTGATTTCTACCCCTCGTGCGAAGCGGTGACACCCCCGGCGGGTGGCAGCAACGGCGTTAGCGGCGGCTTCTACGACAACAGCAGCGGCGGCGGAGTGGGTGGCGGCGGAGCCGGCTGCACCTGCATCGGCGGCGGCAGCTTGGACGAAGGCGGCGACGACTCGAAGCTCGCGACACCCGGCGGCGTGGCACGACCCAGCGACGACCGGGTATTGAGTCAGCAGCTGCGACTGGAGTAAGGGGAGACGCAGAGGAGAGGGGGGGTGTGCTCCAGCAAGGCGCCCTAGCTGGCGCGCTGGCTGTCGTGGGGGCGTACAGCTGGCACCTAAAACCGGACGTTGGCCGTTGCCATCCGTGCGCTGGCGCGTCGATGACGCCACTGCAGCACGACGATGCCGCCACGGCGTGGCGTCGATGCCATGATAGCACGTCGACGCTGCCACATCAGCACGATGACGCCGCGACGGCATGGCGTTGATGCCACGGCAGCACGACGAAGCCGCCATGGGAGCACGACATGGCTGCTACGGCATCGCGGAAGTGACAGGGGGGAGAAGAGTACGCTGCGGAAGCATAAGGAGAAGGCTCGAGCGGAAGGGCCTGCTATGAAACCATGTTGAAAGGGCGTAAGAGCTAAGTTAGGTAGCCATGAGAGGTTTAGTTAGGGGGGAAGAGTTAGGAGAGAAAAGAGGGAGAACTAGGAAGAGAAAGAGATACAAGAAGGGAGGGGTTGTCCCCTCTACACTAGGATCCAGTAAAGTAGCACACCTACCAAGCCTAAACAAATATATATATATATTATATATATACATAATTTGATTCTGTAGCCCAAAAAGCGACCTAAGAATTAGGTCGTTATGCTGCAGCCCACAAAACGACCGAACAGCTAGGTTGTAGTGTAACTGCAGCCCAAGACGCGACTTAGGATAATAGTCTCAATGCATACGGCCCTACAAACGACATAGCAGGGAAGGATGTGAGAGACATCTCCTAGAGGAGGTGAGGGGTGGTGCATTAGGATACCTTGCTGGCAAGAAACGGGGAAGGTGGAGGCAAGAGAAGGAAGGAAATTAAACCTGGAGGATCCAACGTTACCAAAAAAAAAAAAAAAAAACATTCGAGGATATTAGTTTTCTCATGAAAAACGATATTTCTAGCTTAGTGGTTTGCAAATGCGATACCATGGGAAAGGTTTGACGATCAATTTTTGAAAGGCACCTTTCGCATTCCTACTGAAATGTTGGAGAGAGAATTTGTTGCTTCAATTATTTGCATAGTTTGGTTTTCTAATGCGTTGCTATCCCTTTTGTCAACTTATACATATGTTCTATGCAGAATTTATAGGCTAGACTAGATGTGTGCTTCTAGTAAGTACAACCCAACAGGTACGTGTACTAGGTTTCTCTTCCTAGTACATCATAATTGTATTCTAATATGGTATCGAGTAGGTTAGGTCCACCCGCCCACTTCCGCCCCCTCCCTTACCTACCTAGCCCGTCCTGGCCCCGTAGCGCCCTCCTGGCCCTCGTCGTGCCCTCCAGGCCCCGTAGCGCCCTCCTGCCCCCTGTCGCGCCCTCAAGGCCCCGTAGCGCCCTCATGGCCCCCCGTCGCGCCCTCCAGGCCCTGTAGCGCCCTCCTGGCCCCCGTCGCGCCCTCCAGGCCTCGTAGCGCCCTCCTGGCCCCTGTCGCACCCTCCAGGCCCCGTAGCGCCCTCCAGGCCCCCTGTCGCACCCTCTCGCTCCCCCGTCGCGCCCGCTAGGCCCCCGTCGCGCCCGCCTGGCCCCGTCGCGCCTGCCTGGCCCCGTCGCGCTAGCCTGGCCCTGTCGCGCCCGCATGGCCCTGTCGCGCCCGCCTGGCCTCGTCGCGCCTGCCTGGCTCCGTCGCGCCTGCCTGGCCCCGTCACGCCTGCCTGGCCCCGTCGCGCCTTCCTGGCCCCGTCGCGCCTGCCTGGCCCCGTCGCGCCTGCCTGGCCCCTGTCGCGCCCGCCTGGCCCCGTCGCGCCCGCCTGGCCCCGTCGCGCCCGCCTGGCCCCGTCGCGCCCGCCTGGCCCCGTCGCGCCCGCCTGGCCCCGTCGCGCACGCCTGGCCCCGTCGCGCACGCCTGGCCCCATCCTGCTCGCCTGGCCCCTCCGCGCCCGCCTGGCCCTGTCGCACTCGCCTGGCCCCTCCGCGCCCACCTGGCCCCACCGCGCTCGCTTGGCCCCGTCGCGCCCTCCTGGCCCAGGCGCGCTTACCTAGCCCCACTGCGCCCGCCCAGCCCCTCCTAGCGCCCGCCCGGCCCCTCCTAGCGCCCGCCCGGCCCCTCCTAGCGTTGGCCCGGCCCCCTTCCTAGTGCCGCCCGGCCCCTCCTAGCGTTGGCCCGGCCCCTTCCTAGTGCCGCCTGGCCCTTCCGCGCCCGCCAGGCTCCTAGCGCCTGCCCGGCCCCGCTGCGCCTCTCCAACTTCAACTGCCTGCCCGGCCCCTCCTCCTTCCTGCTCGGCCTGCCGTGCCCCCCCCACGGGCCCTGTCTCCTCTGCTCGCCCGCCCTGAGGCGCCTCGCGGCCGCCCTGCTGGAGAGTGCTGCCGCTGTGTCCCCGCACCGCTCTGTTCCTGCGGAACTGTGGAGGTGTGCTGCTGTGTCGCTGTGGAGCTGTGTCGCTGACCCTGCACGATGGCTGACTTCGTGCTCCGACTGGACACTGAGGGCCACGCGGTTGACTTCGTCGCCTGGCTCTCCGATCTCCGCCGCCACCTTACAGGTCAGCGCCAGGATGGCCACTCCTTGGTTGTCCATGTCGATGGCTTGCTCCCCCGCCCCCCTGCCCCTGCTCCCCTCCCTGCTGACCCCTCCTCTGATGACCGTGAGACCTTCTCTACTGCTACGCTTGCCTGTGCGGTCTGGGACTCCCGCGATGCAGTAGCTCAGCTTGCTATTAGCCACGCCCTCCCTGTGTTTGAGCGCTCGCGTTTCGCTACGGTTGATACGGCCAAAGCTTATTTAGACGCCGCTATTGCTCGCTATTCCACACCTGCATCTGCTTCTACCGGCCGCTTGCTCTTCCCGATGCAGTTCCCAGACCTTGCTGCCTTCCCTACTGTCGCAGACTTTGCCACTCACTTGCGTGCCCAAGAGACTCGCTATCGCACTGCCAGCACTGCTGCCCAGCTCATTGCGCTCCCCCCCCCTTTCTGCATGACGCTCTATTTTATCGCCATGCGCCTGCCGGACCGCCTAGCTAGTGCTCGCGACCACTTCCTTAGCCAGCACCCGGGTGACCTCACTCTGACCGCCTTTGTCGACACCCTCACCGATATCGAGACTCGCCAGCGCACTATCGCTCAGTCGAGCGGTGCGCCGGCAGTCTCTATCTTTCACGGATGTGCCCCCTCCCAGTGCACGTTTACTGACGTTTCGGCTGCGGTCGCCACTGCGACCCCTCTTACCGAGACTGCTGCTGTGGTCCACCCGCAGCAGCGCTCGCGTCGCGGTGGTCGTGGCCGCCAAAGAGGTCGGGGTGGTGGCGCTGGTGGTGGTGGGAGTGGTGGTGGTGACGGTAGTCCGCCTGAGAGGACTACCACCGGTGGGCAGGAGCAAACGCAGTCCCCTCCGCCGTAGGAGCAGCCCCAGCAGCTGCCGCCGTCCCAGCAGCGGCCGCCGCAGCAGTGGGCCCGTCTCCCGCCTGGTTGGCCCGGCACCTCCGGAGGTAGTGGCCGTGGTGGCGGCCCGCGCAGCTCGGCGTCTACCGGCGGCTCCGGTGCTGTGGCCTGCCAGTA